CTTCAAGCACCAACAAGTAGAGATTTTGCTAGGTTTATATCAGTTTATAAACTTACAGTTGAAAAAATACATGCATGCATGGAAATACACAAACTTTGTATTTTTTACGAAAATATTAATAATTGTCAGGAAATACTTTAATACAAATTTTCGAAAACTTAATCTCAATAAAAATATAGTTTCTGCTTATTTTACTCGGGAAAAAGCTGAGAGAATTGGTAAAAATGAAATGTTAATTTAATGCTCGGAATATTAGTTTAATACACTTTTCGCTACACCAAAAAGTTATGGCTGAATGTAGATTAGATATTTCATGTCAAGTCAAGGTGAATGTTAGAGTACCGTTCCCAGTTTAAGCGTGCCGAACCCAAAATTTTTAGAACAAAAATTTCGTTGTGTAAACGCAACTGGCGGACCAAAAAGCATGGGTCCGCGTGCCAAAATTTAAGCATGCCGTACCCAAAATGAATGTCGTGTAAACGGGGCTTATGTCTCAGAAAGCGTAAATGTGTTTGAGAATCGTGAAATGCGCTTTGGTTTTCTTGTTTTGTGTTTTGCACTTATGGGTCACCGTATTTTAAACTACACCTGCAAAATTAATGTGACATGTAAAGAGTTTCGATATTCACAGTATCGATTCAGCAATCGTATGCGGAGAAACAAAACCATGTAGCCTTTATAATTATAACAAACGCACAGATCATTAGAAATTGCGCGTGTGATTATCTAGAGAATTAATTCGCTATATAGTTAGAGTATCACGTGCACTCTACTTACTTAGATTTTGTTAAATAATAAAAGCAGCATAAATCCTAGATATGTCTATTGAAGTACGTTGTGAAAGAAATTATCACAAATAATCCACTCTACCACACGCTGCAAAATGGAAACGAATAGTATTGTTATTTATTATATGGCAAGCATTTGTTTTGATGAATCGCGCAAAAAAAAAAAAAAAAAAAAATTTGATTGGCTGCTGACGAGGCAGGATTCTCCCGTACTGCCCACGGGCAATACGCAATTTTTATTGCCCTGCGACGAGAGCCGAGTTTCAAACGGCAAGAAGTGTCTAAAAGTCTTTCAAAACTATTCAAAACGAAGAAAAATAAACCGAAACTAAAGAAAAGGGTTAAAGAACTTTCTCAATATGTTTTTGTTAGCGAAAGTCGAAATTACAAGGTAAATTTTACAATATTTATAACTATTAAAGCAGTAAGGAATAGTTGTGTATAGCCGAGGAATGTGACATCATCCTAAGTAAAAAATACAACTAAAGAAGGCACAGATTTATGTTTTTTCCCTGAAAATTTCTGTTTTTGTTCGATAAAAAGCGACATATTTATGAGATGAAACGAACTAAAAACGTATTTGTCCATACTGTTTACATATTTGTTGTCTTTGTCTTTGACTTTGATTAAATTACGATTTACCTAGTATTTTTCTTGAAATACTATCCAAACTGTGTTATTATTCTATATAAAAAGTGCTGTAGAGTAGTTTTACTAACCAAGCTTGAGAACATTTTACAATTGTTCTGTTTTGCAAATGTTGCGGACTTTGTACGTTGTCCTCGTGTGACCTTTTTTCCATTTTTTTACAAACGTACAATGCCATATAATAAGAAACTTACTGACCTCAACCGTTCTGGCAGTATAGCAAGACCTCGGTTGGATATTTTCCCGTACTGCCCTCACTCTCGGTCGGTAAGTTATTAATATTAAGTGTCAAATTTCAATTTTTCTGTTTTCCAATTGGACAAAAGCGTATCACGTGCCGGTCCGCGAAACGTCGCGTTTACTGCATTGCCCTGGCAACGAGGCAAACAGTCCATAATAAAACATTTATTGACCGGTCCACAATAGAATGGGTGCAGTGCGCATGCGCGTTAACCGTGAAGTTCCAAAGTTAATTTTGTTAAACTTTTTTATTAAACATTTACGGCTTCCATTTATGTAGTCTTGGCTTCAGAGTTCACTCCAATAACAGGTGAATTATTCATACTTTGACACTTACATGCTATATAACAAAACACTTATTTACTGGGACCTTGGGAAAACAGTGTGTTTTGAGGCCCCTCGACCGCCGTTGTAGACATGTAAATAAGTGATAAATATATGCAATTTAGAATGCAAAGTAAATAATATGAGTAATTACAATGCATTTACTGCATGCATCAAAATATTTTTGATATTAGTTAAGGCCAGTTAAGAACATAAAGTTTAAATTAAAGCCTTTTGTATATTTGTTAGACAGTGCCGGATTAACCTTTCCAGGGCCAGGGGCAAAACTATTTTAAGGGCCGGTCACAAAATGCGAATTCGTCCGTGGTTGTGAAAAAGTCACGAGAAAATGTTTCAGTTAGTTTTGTTTAAGTGACCGTACATATGCCGTATGGTTGGAATATTTTATATTAAAACTGCACGTGTGAGCTGTGAAGATATTCCAGTATTACATTGTATATACTTGTTACTGTAACTGTATATACTTGTTACTGTTACAGAAACCGGAAGGTTGCTTTAACCAACGAGTTATTTATTCGATGATCACATTATATAACTTTTGAAGGAAAACTATAAATTTTTTTATTCGTTTTTTTTGGGCCGGTGGAAATCTATGGCCGGGGGAAAATTCCTCTTTTGCCCCTTAGATAATCCGCCACTGTTGTTAGATAAAGAGATAACCGCTCGCGCAAATAATTATAGTTAATTCCGCATAGCTGAAATGTCTGAATATTCGTAAACACTTGAAATTGTCTCGCCGAAAAGCCGAAAAGCAAGATTTTGCAGCAAACTTTGTTGAGTTCGTTGTAGTTATCATTGTTTCGTTTCTTATTATTAGCATGACAAAATTGCTGGATGCTGATTGGTTGAGAGGAGTAAAATTATTTCATTAATTGTTAATGATTTTCCCAAAACAAACAAAATGGCGGAAAGGTATTTTAAACACAAATGTGAAATGAAATTGCCGTGGAGGAACTAGATGAAAATACGAACAAAAGTACCAAATTTTGTTTGAACAAAAGAACTAAATGAAAATACAAACAAAAGCACCAAATTTTAGTGGAAAATCTGGCAGGACTGGGCTTTGGCGAGAGAATATGAGGTTGACATTGAGAAGTACGTATCCAATTTTGTCATGCTAATAATAAACAAGTAATCATGCGATGTTTCTCGTACAATTAGGGATTAATAATACTCGTCATGTTTGAAAATTTGCCAAATTGGACTCGCCCCGGCGGCTCGTCCAATTTTGGCAAAATTTCCAAACATCACTCGTACTATTAATCCCTAATTGTACTCGCCATCGCATGATTACCTATACATATTACATATGATAATAACATACATACCATAATTAAACCGAGGTTGACCTTGTGCCGATTTCTTCATTTTCTACCACATTGTATATGTGTCATTGATTTTGAAGTTTGAAAAATATGTGAAAAACATTTGTGTAGTGTGAGAGATTGTTGGTCAACACAGTAATAAGATGTATTTTCTTGTTTGTTGCAGTAGTGACATCATATTGTGATCGCCAAAGTCACCCAGGCCTGAGGACACTATGACCTTCTCTCCGTAACTCCTTACTTTCGCCCCGCACATAAGCATGTATTACCAAAGTTATAACCTTCACATCAAACAAAAGCGTAATTTGTACTTCTCCATCAATAAAATCCAATTTACAAACATTTATAAGCAGTGATGTCTGTTGGCTTAGAAGAATGAAAAAACTTTAAAACTGTTCAACACATATAAATTGCCACATAATTCAGTGCAAACATATACCTTTCTCCGTGCAACAATTATACAGTTTAAGAAAGTCATTTCTTTAAAAATGGCAAACTGAGAAACATTAATTAATACGTTTCCAAATAATTGCAATATACTGCCATAAATTTCTTGCTGTTTCATCAGTTTGTACCGGCCCAGGGCAGCTTCATTATCAACGATTTTCTAACGTTTCTCTGCGATTGTTGTTTCAGAACTATATGAACCACAGAAAATATACTTTGCTTCCACGATCTCTACATCAGACTTTTTGGGAAAATCCCAGCAACTATCTCCTCGGTAGCGCAAGAAACTATAAAATTCGACACTTTTGGCATCTTCATCTTGATCATCGACAAAACATAGTTGGTTCTTCCCCCAATAATATTTTTGACCATAGTACACAGCATACAGGCGACCTTTCATGTCATCGTCCAGTAACTTGTTCACCTCTGACAATGTTTGTAATAACTTTTCCTTTTGCGAAAGTAACGTACTGGTTGATGGAGTATCAGTATCACACTCGCCCTGCAAAAGGGTTTCTTCGTCTGTTCCAGGCTGGGACTCAGATTCTTCTTCTGTTTTGCTGTCCTCTTCACTTTCTTCATCAGATTCATCACTTTCAGTGGAAAGGTTTTTTGATATGGACTTGCCTGGTTGGAAATCAAGACGTTTCTTTTTCAGACGTGTTTGAGCTGTCTCCGCTTCTTCACCTCGCATATTGGCCAGTGCGTCCAGTAGACTTTGATCAAGCGCGCTACTAGCTCTCATGGTGTTTTCACTCGGCAGTTTGATTTAAATTTTTTCTGTGTTGAATGGGTGAATTCCGCAAACCTTACACCTGTTAACCAAATTCTGCTTGCTATTGCCTTCACTTAACTTCTCAATTAGCTTCTTCAGCAGCCCTGCAAGTTGTTCTTTTTGTAAATTGCCATTTTGACGTCCAACAGCCGTTTTTCTCCAACCAAACAATAATGTCCTCCATGTTTCTTCAGTGGAGCAAAGTAAGCCACATCTAGTGGTTGCTTCGACACCAATGTGTTCTTATAATCATGATATTTTGTGTGTGTTTTGATGTTATGTGTGTACTGCGTTATGTTACAATTGGTCAGTTAAAATCTTTAGCATTTCTATATATGGCATTTCAGAAAAAATTGTATAATTGGCTAAATCAACTAGAATTACAGTTTCATTTACATTATTATCTTTATTATAAGTATGAAGTATTTAGAGCACAACATAACAATATTTAAAGAGAGCAAGCAGGAGAGACTATGAACGCACAAGTTGTCTGCTGTATATAATAAAATAGGTACGCACTGCGTACATGTGGTTAGCCCTTGGAATAAAAATAAGTACGCTAAGCGTGCATGCATTTGTGTACGGCGTTAGTGGAATATATACAATTATCGCAAGGACGTAGAATGATTGATAGACTTTAATAGGATGCTGGTTTTCACGAGGCGCCACCACAATTAAAAAAAACTTTGAAACATGATTGAGATTATGGAATCATCAAAAATAGAAAGCCCTGCTCCTCCAATTCACCCCCTGGGACAGATTACCTTGTCAACAGCAAACATATTCCGCGTTCCGCATCTTGTACATCGGTAAATTAAAGCAATACTTTTCAGAACACTAGTTCAACGTAGTTTAGTATAACATATGACAATAACTAGACAACAATAGTTCGAGGTCTCGACTAGACAATTTATCTTGATAATAAATATATTAAACGAATCTTAAAAAATAGCAGCTTAAATAGTCTTAGCATTGGCATTGCCCTCAAACTTTTGATATTTTGATATTAATAAGGTGTTACATGTAACATGAGTAACAAAGTCATTTATTCTTTCCACTGGGGATATAGTACATTCACCATTCATTCCAGGATAGCAGGTGTTAGTTCATGTCTAAATTTGTGATGAATACATCTTCTGTTATTAATTGAAAAGTGTCCTGATATACTGTATGCACACCATTAAAGGTACATAAGATTCCTTCTGATTCCATACACTGCAGCTTTTGCTCCTGATCTGAAATATTTAATTGGTCACTGACAGATGGAAATCTTGTTTATTCATACAATTTCATTTTCCAATATTTACTTTTCAGCATTAAATTTATCCAATAGTAGACACCACCTGATACATTATAAGTTGATCAACCATTAGGAATTTTCGTACAGGATATCATCCAGTTGTATAAATTTAAAGGTCAGGCTTTTCCTTATTTACAAATGAGACAGGTAAAATATTCTTGTCAACCAGTAACATTTTCACAGTGATATAGAGTATACAGTATACAGTCTAGCATTGTTTGCCAGGTGGAATGCAGTGGTGGTGGAGACGGTTAGTTTTACCGATTACCTTCTATGGCGCCATTATTTTGTGTTGTTGTTTCATCTACAAGGTTTAAAAAAGTAATATTACTATACAGGAAATATGTTATATTCTATGGCCTGTTCTCCAGTTCATCCATATTGTAGCATACCATATTGTTTCCTTTTAGTCAAATGTCATAATAGTTGTGCATTAGTTCTGCAGTTAGTTCCCAAAGACCAAAACAATATGCTACAGTATGTTTCACTACTCGAAAACTGGAAGAAGCAATGTTGAAAAGGAGAAGAACCAATCTCTCAACAGCAAAACAACAAATGCACATGCAATGACATCTTCATCTTTGTCAACACCAAATACAGGTGCATTTTCAAGCCATGCATGTACACCATATAAATTGTTGCCATAAACTAAAATCCGCGGTTTGTAATGGATGTGTCGCAAATATTAACGGACTTAATTACATTATAAACAATAGAACATAATGACATGGCAACAAATTGTTTTCCAGCATTAGATCTAAACATTAATTGATCACCTTCGTGAAAGTCTTCATGAACTGTATAAGTACGGTCAACTATTTCATTAATATTTCTAGAACCTGGATTTTCCTCAACATCATTTGAAAGTCTTAATAGCAATGGTATACATGAACATGCATGATAACATACCATCTGTGCATACCACATGCACACCTCATTATATTTTTCAGTTTTAGGCACCAGATTTTTAAGACATATATAGCAAGTAAAATGCTATTAAACAGAACATCGTCAACATTTGATTCCAGAATTTACATTTCAGTCGAGACATTCTTCCTTGTGTAAAATCTCAAATGCTACACCAATATTTTTCAGTCAAGTTCAACAGTCAAGGTTATTTTGTGTTGTGGTTTGTAAATCGTTCACCTGCAAGTTGACAGGTCAGTTTGTAGCATATGAATCCCCAAATTGGGTTTGCTCTTTAGACTTTACAATATATATACCTGCACAAATATGGCAAGGTTGGTTTTGTTTAACTGCACGATGGAAAGTTTTTATTTAATTTTATATTTCAGTTTCTATGGCGTCTGATCCAAGATCAGTGCAAGCAACAATGGCTTCGTTCAACTTATTGAATGTACGAAAAGTTATAAATATGGAGCCTGATCAAATATTTTTGACCAAAGCAGAGCAAAATTGCGATGTTTTTAGTATTATAAATGAATATTTTCAACAACAAATGACTAGATATGAAAAATAATTGGCTTACCTGTATTTGTGATGAAATATTGATGTTTTATTTGCATAAAATACTGTGCATTATTATCGCCTCATGGCATTAACGACAGTTTCCGAAGTAAAGTCGAACACGCTCCGTCACAACTTCATAACCTTCACAACTTTTTTAGCGTGTGCATAATGGCATGCCTGCGAACGGGCTAACGACAAAAACTCTTATATTCTGCTCACTCCCGTCGTATATGGCTGATAGCCTGTTTGGTGGCCTCGTCAGCTATCAGTCTATGAATATACAAGTACGCCCCTCGTCAGCCATCAGTCCATGAATATACAACTTGAGTTCGCAGAATACCTGTTCAATATTGGCAAACGTTGCCTCCCACCCAGGTATAACAAAACAGACCTCAATTGTGACATGATTCTGAGGTCGACTAACTCGAGTAAAACGAGCCAAAGAACAGTTACCCAATATATAAATTCAATATACTTGGCGTAGGTCCGTAATCCTAATATTTGGCGAATTCTTTAGGCGAATTTTTTTCAATCCTACAAGTATCCGCATGTCACGACGTTATTTAGAAAGAAAGTCTGATATGCCTCATGCCTACTTCTTATTAATAATAAAATGTTAGTACTAGTAAAATAATGTGAAATCCAACTTGAAAGGTTTTTAACAAGCTAATTCTCTTTAACAAGCTAATTCTCGGGGAGTGTCATTTAAGCTAGCGCAAGACATCGTTTGAAGACCCATACGGACTGTATCTTTGCAACAACGTATAAAATCATAATTTTAGACTAGAAAATACATGCATGCAGAAACCCTCGCCTTGCTGACAAAACCATTGTAATTTCCAAACATGAAGTATCTAAAGTAGTTGTCATGGTAACACAATAATTTTATTATCAAATTATAAAATCAATATTTAAAACAAAATTACCTTCGTTAACGTCGGCTGCCTTCTTTTAGCCGATTCTTTCGCCCTTTGTTTCTTGAAATTTACAAAATCTTGCAAAAATGCGAGCAATAATGAAATATATTTGCCAGAAATTTATCAATCATCAAATCAAGAAATGTTTGCTATTTCGCTGTCGTCCTGCAGTCGTTATAATGCAAACTTTAAATTGGACCAATCAGTGTCCGCTATTCATGACAGTCCGCCATATTTTTTAGATCAGTGAGGATGACCACCCACGCACAGTGACCCACGTCAGCGATATTTGATGAACTTTAGACTTCCATAATGCTTTCGTTTCCCCGGGTGTAAATAGCCGGGGGAATTAGTACCCTCGCACGGCGCTTCGCGCCGTCAGCTCGGGGATAAAAAAGATGCTTGACGAAGCTTGTGACTCCATGTGTACGTATGTTCATAAATTTCATGTGATGAAAGCGCTTGCCTCGTTGTTGATATTAATGAATCACTCATCTTTTTATTTGTTTTATAAAATTCTATACCTAAATGATTGAAATATTTTTTTTTTGTATATGCAAATACGTTTAGTGGTTAATTTTAACCGAACACATTGATAATGGATTACACATCGGAAGAGTTTCAAAGAAATAAAAGGTGCCACAAGATGACGTTCACAAACGTACTTGGAGAACTCCTTCAATCATGGAAAAGTCGATATTCTAAAAAGAACGTACACAAAACCATCAACATCAAGCATGAATACATAGAGTTCTTACAGCATACTGATTTCCGAAGAGATCTGAAAATATGTTATCCTGATTTGGTTGCATCCATTGGACATAAATATGGTCATATAGAGCTCAAAGGTCCAGCTTGCCAAGTTGTAGACGTGACTGTCATAATAAATAAGCAACTACATAGAATTTGTGAGAAGCAGTTAACGTTATCTCAGTCAGACTTAGTTTGGAATATTGTTGCGAGGAATCGATGGAGTGAGTATTTCGCCAGACAACTTGGTAAAGAAAACATAAAAGCTAAAGTAAGTTATACCGTGTACTTATGCTATAGCTTGATAATGCACTGAAACTACCTATTTTGCCCCTTCACAACATATCATGTGACATGTCATGTATCATGACTTCCGTGATCCAGGGGGAAGGGGAAATATGTTCATATAATAAGTATACAGTGAAACACGCAATTTGATTGGTCAATAGTGCAGGATCAGGCTACATATCAGGCTACACATCCTGCACGAGGAATTAAAATGCCTTCGCGTGATTTTCGTGGCATGGGATTCTCAAAATGCCATTGTTTCACTGTAGTTATTTTATAAGACAATTACCAAATGGTCCAAGCAGGATAGCGTGATCCATGCACTTGGGATGTTGCTCGACTTTCGGAAAGCGTAAAAATACACTCGCCTGCGGCTCGAGTATTTTTACGCTTTCCGAAAGTCTCGCGACATCCCTGGTGCATGGATCACGCAATCTTGTATGGAAAACCATTCGGCATTCCTTTTATAAAACATACACCGTGCCAATTAATCGTCGTTAATTGAAGTTAAATGATCACCTTCATTTAACTTCAGAAATGCCGTTATCTGGTGAATTCAGACGGTGGTTTCCTCTGCTATCCATAGGAACAACTTCCAGTATTACACGCATAACCGTCATCTATAATATTTAATTTAAAGCCAGATTCAAAGCGAAAATCCACTTAATTAAAGGACATCGCGGCGTTGGATTTTCAGTCCACCTAGTTAAAAGGAACTCTTCAACCTGTAATATAAGCTATTTTACACTTTTAAAAATTCGTATTCCCATTTAAAACATTTTAGTGTGTTTAATATGTAATATAAGCAAGCAATATCGACAAAATTACGCGTTTGATTTCAGTCCGAATTGCACTCCATTCAGTTCTACTATAGTTACACTATATAAATAGTTTAATACAGGAAAGCTAACGATATGGCTTACGCATGATTGGAAGAAACGTTTTGCGACATCTATCAGTCACTATGCGAAAGTTATTAAGAATAGAAATTTATAATGTCCTTAGTTGGTACAGTACCCTTATACGCTTTAACAAATCAATAAAGTAAAGACTCTTATTGGCTTTCTTCACAATTGCAATCAGGAAAGGCTAGCCAAGGAGGAAAAAGTGTCTCCAAAGAGAAATTGGCAACCGGAATTTTTATAGTTTACGTCTTGGTGAACAAAACTATATGTGTTAATTGCCGCTTCTAATGTTAGAAAAAAATGTGAGAATTTAAAAATTTTGGCTCTTAAATTACTATGATAGCAAAAAATGTAAAATTTCATGTTCTCTTATACGAGAAATGAACTATATCACTAGAAAGTTGGCAGAAAAGGATATACATGTACAAAGCAATTAAGCAATTTTAGTGCGGTTTTTCAAGCCGGTTTTGAATTAAAGATGGTTAATTTAAAGTTGGCAAAATGGGTATACTTATTAGCATTAATTTGGTCATTTTCGCATTTTTAGCATTAAAATCTCGAAATAGGATTGGGAAAACGTATAGGACTCGCTTAATTGTCTTATATATACTTTTTAAATTTAATTTGGGAACTTTCTAGTGGCATAATTTATTTTTCGTATAAGAGAACACGACATTTTACAGTTTTTGTCATCATGGTGATTTAATATAGGCAAAATTTTAACAATCTCAAATTTTCAGGCTTCAACTATAAGAAAATGCCTGATTCCAGCTTCTAGCATAACGTTGCCATCAAGCTGCACAAACTGATGGCTTGGCTAGCCGGCGTGGATATTATTTCATCATTACGTATTTTGTCATGCAGAGTAAATGGTATATAAAGCTTGTTCGATTTTAACTAAATTAGCTTGTTCGTCTTTGTCAAAAATAATTGACTTTAAAATTATCCTACCAATGATGTCATTTATTTATATCTCAAATGAATATTTTAAAAACGAAGATAGACTCTGCATGCTGAATAGGTTAATTAACCCTATTTGTACCGGAAATGCGTTCATGTTGATATGACTGGGGTGCGCTGACACGGCGCACCCCTCTGAAATTCTGTTGATGAATTGCCATTTTATTTTTAGTAAGTTTTATCTTTCTTTAACCTAAAATAACAAAAAAGTAAAATTCACATCCAAAATGCTGTCTTTTGGCCCCATTGAATACGACCACCTATCAAAAAATGGCGAATATTGCTGATATTTTACGAGATAAAAACAGTTTTTATGTTTTAAGAGATAAAAAATTTTTGGATGTGCTATTTTTGGGGTTTTTTACATTCAAAAGACATACTTATATATTATGCATGGCATACCTCATATGTCCATAAACACCACTATTTTTCTTTACAAGCTGGCATTTCTGTACCGTATGAAAACATATACAACTGAAACTGACCTGTCTCCCCATATAAACAACCCAAATCATTTTCAACATCACTGATTTCACCATCATCACTGTGACACTGTCACTGTTGTCAAAATTTTCCATAACTCGCATTACGTTCGAAATTGCGCATTCTGCTGAAACTGTAACTCTTTTTGGTGGTATATCTTCTTTAGTTTAAACTGAAGAAACACTGAAGAAAGTCGATCAAGGAACGTTTGTAGAAAAAAATCATACGATATGGCGACCATGTTTTTATACCAGGCCAATATACTATGTGTTACACGAAGTGTAACGCAGGTAGGCTACGAGCCTGCGGTATATAGTTTTAAAAACACAACATTTACTTTGAAAATCGTCACAATAGTACTCTGGATTTTATGCGAAATATTTTATACTAAATTGGGTACATTTGTTGTATGAAACAAATTATATATGTATACTGCAATATAATATGCATGAGTTTGCTCAAAGACAGGGAGATTTTATGTAATAGTAATATTATATATAGTATAGTATTATATAATATAGTATAGTAATATTATATATTATACTATATTTTACTATTTTATATAATATATTATGGATATTTTACTTTGCAAATCATATGTAATAATCCATCTTTATATGTTCTCTAATTATATTATGTTATTTATGTCCTTGGAAGTGATTCAGCCAAAAAATACTGTCAAAAATCACCAACCCGCATTTTCCCATTTTTTTGGCCCCGCCACCTTGTCAACCTTGTTCCTAGCCGGGAACGAGATTGACACCTTGTTTGTCAAATGTCGTCAAACGTCCGGATAACTTTGAATTTTCAGAAAAATGTTTTCTCAGTCAAGACGGCAGAGGAAAAATATTAAAAGTCATAAAAGCACAGGGGAATTGAATCACTTATTCAAGTATAACGTATAAATATTTATAGGGGTGGGCTCTCATTGTGCGCACACCCGGTACAAATATGGTTAAAATAGCTTATTTACAGATTTAAGAGTTCTTTTCCGATAAGATCAACTTAAAATGTATTGCCGATGTTGGGTAATTTATGAACCGTTGATATATATATATATATATATATATATATATATATATATATATATATATATATATATATATATATATATATATATATATATATATATATATAT